TATATATACATATCCTCAACTATCAAAGGGAAATTTATTGTAAAGTGTAAAACAGTACACTATTTATAAGGCTCCCTTATGACATTAATACATGTTTATTAGTCATTAATAAATAGTGCACCTATTGTCTTACACTTTACAATAAATCTCCCTTGTTAATATGTATAATGCAGTACAATATTGCACATAAAATATGTGTTTCCAAATACATTATTGTGCTTACAAGGTAGAAACCTAGTCTGAAATGTTCAATACAGCACTTTTAGATTAAATTTGTACATGAACAGATTTGGCTCAGTATTCGACAAGAAACCGGACAGTTTTCTCTCTTTCCCGTTCTTAATTAATGCATAATAAACACTTATTAATGATTTATAAAGTGTTTACAGATGAATTAGTAATCTAAACCATTTATAAGCCATCTATAAGGGGAGCCTTATTGTAAAGTGGTACCAAAAATAAATAAATTAGTTAAATAGAGTTATTTGTACTGTTATAGAACCAGTTTACTTTGCTCCATAACAAAAATTCTTATAAAACATGTTCAGAGGTTTTTTTTAAATTTTATTGTACTTGGAAACATTTGGAAAATTCACTTGATAATATGCTTGTGACGCACAGGAAATAAACACTATGTCATTAGAATTTCAAGGGAACCCATTTCAATAGATGTTGTGATTCTTTATTGCAGTTTTGCGTGTAACGTGGACCCAAATGACTGGCAAGACCGGCCAACACAGGGACAAAGAAAGGCGCGAGAAGCATGGCTTGAACATCAGATTTGCGCAGTGACCCTGGAGAGATCAGAGGTCGCAAGGGTCCCCAGTCTCACAACTCTGAAACATCTGCTACAGAGCCTCGGGGGACAAGGATGGGTTTTCAAACGACTGTTTCTGAGAATGATAAATGACTTCTGTCAATGCAGTTCTGTCTCATCTCTGGCTGTGATCTACAACATTCATAAGATTCAGAAAAACAAAATGTTGAATCAGAATCACATTTGGACTCAGAGGTCTCTCATTTACTGTTTTCACCCGTGTTCCTGCTCCTGCTCAAGACTTTACAGCTTCATGCCGAAAATGAAGGGGACTCCTAACCCTCATTGAGATTTATGCAAACAAATATACAAAAAAAGCTTACATTATCATTTTGAAGGCAACTAATGAGGAAAGGATTCAGCTCAGCGTTTTGAGAATAAAAACATACACAACAATAGTAAATCCCATGGCATGTAAAACTATTCACTTCAGCTGACAAACTTTTCCACCTTCATGTCTGGATCTTCAATTTACTGCTTCCCACTCTCTCTCTCTCTCTCTCTCTCTCTCTCTCTCTCTCTCTCTCTCTCTCTCTCTCTCTCTCTCTCTCTCTCTCTCTTTTCCTTCTCCAGGATATTCAATACCAACGACTTCTCCTCTGACAGCTTGAGAGCCAGAGGGGAAAATTTCCATTCAGCCTCGATGCCTGATCTTGGCGGTACAGTCCCGCTGTAGACTGAACTGTTTCCGTCCATCCGCCGCTGCTGTAAGGAGCCCACCGTTCCCTACCAAAACTTTCCCCCCTCTTTTGGGCCGTCACATAAACACTTTCCACTGCCCCAGACCTGAACCTTCTACATTTTGCTCCCTCTCTTTCAAAATTTCTTTCTTTCCTTTGCATACACATTAATGAAAAAAATAATGAATATTTTTCAACTTTGATTAAAAAAAGCAGCCAAATATGAAAATGTTTATGAAAGTCAGAATGTATGCACACTGTAAGTTWAAAAAAATACATTTAAATTTGCCAGAATGCAACCAAAACGATCAACTTCRAACACCTTCAAAAATTAAATCAATAAGTTTTGTAGCAGTCATTCAGACAACAAACCCAGATGGTACTATCCAAATAAACCTGTAAGTATATACAGAGCTTATTTTTTTATTTTAGTGGAAAAAATTTGGTAGCACTTTATAACTACACCTTATTTAGCCTTACTTAATCACTAATAAAGGGTTCGTTAACCTTGAAAACATCATTAATTAAGGATGATTCATACTTAATAAGCTATAAATTAATGCTTTACTTATCAAATCTAATTACTTCTAAAACTAAGATACTCATTTTAAATTCCAACTCATGAATTGCCACTAGCTATTATCTATACTGTGTGTGTAAATGCTCAATGTGTATTAATGGTTAGATAAAGTTTGAACTGAAAATGATTTGGGGCTGATTTCCACAGGTAAAAAGAAACTTATTTATTTTCTTTTCAGGGTTTTGTCTGCATTATATACATGTATATGTACAAAAGCTGTAAGGAAGGAGGCAGAGGACTAGTGAGTGTGAGAGCCACTGTCCAGCATGAAACATCCAAGATCCATAAATACWTCAAGGACAAAGCCTCAACGGACGATGTGCTCAGCGAATGTCTCAGGCAATGGGGAACAGAAGACGAGGTGCTAGAGGTACCATCRTGGGAGGACAAGCCCCTACATGGGATGTACCATCRACAAATAACTGAAGTGGCTGATATCAGGAAATCCTACCAATGGCTGGAAAAAGCTGGACTCAAGGACAGCACAGAGGCACTTATCCTAGCTGCACAGGAACAGGCCCTAAACACCAGAGCAATAGAGGCTCAGATCTACCACACCAGACAAGACCCAAGGTGTAGGTTGTGCAAGGAGGCCCCTGAGACAGTCCAGCACATAACAGCAGGGTGCAAGATGCTGGCAGGGAAAGCATACATGGAACGACATAACCAAGTGGAGGGCATAGTGTACAGGAACATCTGTGCAGAATACGGACTGGAAGCTCCGAGATCGAAGTGGGGAACACTTCCAAAGGTGGTGGAGAATGACCGAGCTAAGATCCTGTGGGACTTCCAGATCCAGACAGACAAGATGGTAATGGCRAACCAACCGGACATTGTGGTGGTGGATAAAGAACAGAGGAAAGCCGTTGTGGTGGATGTCGCAATACCAAGTGACCACAACATCAGGAAAAGGAGCATGAGAAACTGGAGAAATACCAGGGCCTCAGAGAGGAACTGGAAAAGACCTGGAAGGTGAAGACCACAGTGGTGCCTGTGGTCATCGGGGCCCTCGGGGCAGTCACCCCCAAACTGGAGCAGTGGCTAAAACAGATCCCAGGAACAACATCAGACATCTCAGTCCAGAAATGTGCAGTTCTAGGCACAGCTAAGATACTGCACAGAACCCTCAAGCTCCCAGTCTGGTAGAGGACCCAAGCTCAGAGGATGAAAAAGACCACCCGCGGAGGGTGAGAAGGGAATTTTTATATATATATATGTATATTATATGTAAAAAAATCACAGTTTTCACTATAGAAGCGTTCACATAAAGACTAAACTAGCAACTGTCTCAATTAGTGATGCACTGCATGAGTAGATAGTCAGTTCAAATGTTCTCTATTAATACATAACATATGGTTCATGCATTTCTATGAGTATCTATCTACATGCACACAGTATATATAATAATTAAATTATGAGTTATTGAACAAGAATAAACAATGAGTAAGGTTCTGGAGTCATTTAGCCTTTATGGGTAAAGCATTAATACACATATTAATTTATAGCTTATTAAGTATGAATCATTGTTCATTAATTATATGTTCAACGTTAACTAAACATTTATTAATGATTAAGTAAGGCTAAATAGGGTGTAGTTATTGTAAATTGCAACCAACAATTATATTTACTTGGCCATTTTCTGAAGGAAATTAAATCTAAAGAACAGGAATAGTTTCCTTACGCAAACCAGGAAAATTAAACAATCAAGTTAACTGTTATTGCCAGCGAAGGAGTCCAACTGTGTGGCTTGACAAACAGGAATGAATTGCATCTATAAACGGCAGAGCTGAACAACAGTGTAAGACTTAAACTTTGGCCGACGGTTGTTCTGGTTCATATTGCAAGCTCCTTCTGCTCCCCTTAAACCTGGCTTAACGTGCACTGTGCTGGCTGGTGTCTTCCAAATATTTGGCACCGTCACCAAAATAACAGATGTAACTGCTGCTACCATAAGTTCTTCTGTTTCAATCCAAGAAAGACGCCAAAGTTTAAAATTTACCCACATAATGAAGTCATTCTGTATGGCTTGTTTCATACTTTGATATTAAATGGCACACTTGGAGACTGTTTCACGTTTGAATGGACTTCATTTATATAGCACTGTACCAAACTTACTGAATACAGATTCACTTATTCACACATGCACAAGCGAGCAAATCAGGGACAACTTAGGGTTCAGTGGCTTACCCTTTGAGATGTGGTGGGGGCAGGTCACATGGAGTTTGTGCTCATCTCCAGTGGTCTCAATGTGAGAGGCGGGGTACACCCTGGGCAGGTTGCAAGTCCATCACAGGGCCACTACAGGGACCAATGAGACAAACAACCATTCACACTCACTCACACATACAGACAATTTCACATTACCAATTAACTCATGCATGGTTATTGGAACAACAAAATCATTATGGTTGGATTTCATCCACAAAGCCACTTTAACATCACAAGGTAACACTGCTGATTAAATGAGTTGATACAAATAGATTTCTAACAAAACTCTCACTAGTTACATCAAGCAGAACTGGCTTTGGGATAAATCTGAGTGCCTTTGCATTTACAGCAGTTGGACAAAGTGTAACTGAAGTTTGCTGCATCAGTTCAATACAGTTTTACTTTAAAACAGAAAGCTGATTTTTTTTCACTCTTTCTTTCTCTGTCTTCCAGCAGGTCTTTCTGTTCTCTGTAGCTGCATATTTCTGACCTGCAGTTACTGGTCACTCCAACCTGCCTAGTGTTTACTGCTTGTTGTATCTCGGAGCTCATCTCTTCTCTCCCTGCGGTCCCTGAGCCAGTCTAAACAAGGCAGCCGCCCATCCTGAGTG